GCAGACCCAACAGCATAACGCACGCAGTCGCGAGAACAAGACGCAACAGAAACACAATACACACGATAGGGAAGAAGAGCTCCAACAGAGTAGGATGAGCATGACTGGCGTAATAAGATACGACGTAGCGATCGGGAATCCTGAACAGTTTTAATATTTTTACGATTGACATTTGTCAATATATATGATGGACATATATTTTAGTTATTTTAAAGTGAAGACAAGGCATACAATGTACTAGTTTGACGTGAATTGAGTAGCACCTGAAGATGGCATTTTTATGCCGAAACATGTAGTGAGAGTGAGAGAAGAAGATAGATAAGTGTACGCACTGCAAGACGGATTAAACAAATCATGAACTTAAATCAGTGCAACAGGACGCTAAAATATAACATTGGTAGTAGTAGTTGTTGTTGTAGTAGTAGTAGTATTTAATAACTGGTGTGATTGTACTAACTAAATTTTTATTGTCTAAATTGTGCACAATATATTGGTTTGTCTTTATTTGTGTTGTATCTTTTGCCCGTACTTACTTTATAATTGGTACTTGGGCTCTTTAATAAGCACGCAAATAAAGAATTGAATTGAATTAATTAATTGATCATTTACTTCAAATAATGTCCGTCAAATGCCAAAGCAGCCTTCAAAGGTCATCACGAAGTTTGTATATTAAAGAAATTTCAGCGTGCTTTGGAACACTTTATCTGTGCTTTTAAGTACAAAATATGTCAAAATTGAAGTCCAGTTGTCTGCGCCAGCTATGCTAACGATTTTAAGGTTGGTTGAACGGCATTGATTATAGGTGTACACACATAATGACACGGACGAATGACTCACACGACTACTTCGTATTCTAGAGACACTGGGTTTGAATCTCCAGTCAAGACGATTCAGGGCAGTTCCGGAATAGTACCTTAAAACAGGCCACAGTCACTCCCATTTCTTTCCAAATTTCACAGTTACAGCCCCCTATCAAATTCAGTGTTTTATATCCAGAGCAGTTGACAAACGCCACTGAATAAATGCAGACGCAATCAAATCTAAACTAATCAAACCTACAGGTAGTGTTATAACCTCCTCTAAAGATTTGATAGTTTCTTAGTCTCCAGGGCCTTATTTAAAGCCAGGTGCACCAGATGAAGGGATGCTGGCACTAACGTGATACAAACTATACACTGCATGTCTTAAGGCTTCAAAAATTGATGAAAATTACTACAATATTCTTGTAACTTACATTTGCAGCTGGCCGAAAATTTCGACATGTCGTTCTTCGAAGTTTCTTGTAAAGAAGACATAAATATAGGGGAAGCTTTCCTAACACTGGCACGAAGGATAAGGGAACAAAGGGACAGAAGGGTGAGTATTTTTTTATTTTATTATTTTAAAGGATAATTTAAGAAATATGGTCATAGGTATTATCCGTCAACGACGAGAAGGCGAAACAGTTAATTCAGCCTTCCCCGCATATCCTGTGCAAGCTACAAACAGCGGCATGAATTTTGGGCGAATATTACCTCTGTTCTTGGTACACAGAAACTTCATATGTCCCTAAATGAACAATAGAATATTCAATGTTTATCAATTTCTCCCTTCACTAGTCTAGTTTTCTCTTCGTTGGAGAAGAGCCCCAACAGACAGTGACTGTGAAATCATTTTTCTCCGGGTTTTCTTCGCCATAATGTATCATGCGATCGTCAAGTTTTAAAATGGTTCTTTACGTTAGGAAGGGGCATGCTTTAAAAGTGAAACAGTATAATGTGTAGTGTTTCGCACATTAAGCAACCCAAGGGGTGCTAAGAAATGAAGGAATTACCTATTTACTTATGCCGTTTCCGAAAAATGAAATATGAAATATCAGCAGTTCACTTACACACTTGTTATCAGTTGGTACATGGAGTCATCTCGTGACAATTAATGAGCGATTTGACGAAACTGTTTGATACACTCAATAAATATCATGTTAACAAGAATGGGCAGATTTTTATAAAATAAACCACGAGGAAGCAGGATCCAGTGCAACTATTTTCACTAACTGTTCGAACCTAAGTTTGGTAGAGCCGCATATCTTACAGTCGTAAGGCAGACAATTTAAGCTCTTTAAAACATGGGTTCTTTCTCCATAAATAACAGACCAGCTCTGATCCCTTTTCGCATTTAGTATGTATGTAAAGGTAACACATCCTTAACGAGATATTAGTAATCCACTTTATAGTACTAGTAAAATTTATCCCTGTAACAGGCCGTGGAAGCCCGTAGGGTTGTGAGAAGTCCAGGCTGCCACACCTTCTAGACAGTTGGTTCACAGATGGCGGTAAGGTTGTCAGTCTTCCGCGCCGGCCGCCTTTTATCCCCCAGGAAGGTTCCTGGTACTCATTTCTGTTAGAAGCTGAGTCGTCACCAGGGCCATAGTGTGGCTGGAAGGATTAGCCAAATTGAAATAAAAACCTCATCGGCACTCGAACCCGCGACCTTCCGGCTTGTAGCATAGTGCCTCACCCAACTGCGCTACCGCGGTACTACAGAATAATTCAAAGCTGTATGGTGTAGTAAGCTATAGTGGTACGTGTGTATTACTATATACTGTAGCATAGGCACCGCGTGCAGGCTGGCCCAGGGGTCCAGTCAGCCTCACACTCATTGCATACTCATAGCTTTTCCTTCCAGGGGATAAGTTGTTCAGGACTTGAAACTGACCACTCTGCTTTATCTATCGCCGAGGTTAAGAATGCGTGGAGCTATACACCACTCACCCAGACGTCTTTCATGGCGTAGTCCTTCTATAAGTACAGGATGAACCCTTGCGTTGTTGCTGATTCTATTCTCAGGTTGTTGCACCGTGTGTATGTGACGATATAGCTGGGATTGGTGCCTCTTTTGACAAGTAAAAGTCTCCCCCTCCACCGTTACTTTTGAAACATAATGCTTTATATACATAGACACTCATCAAACTGTACAATTCGATGAAGGCAGCATATACCTCCGAAACGTCGACATCATTGCCCACATCCAAACAGTGTAACAACGCTAGAACAGAATAGACTTGTGAACTACTGTGAAAGCCGATAGTCGCTAAAACCCTTACAGATTCTTCGATTTCTTTCATTGTAACACAACTTTGGTGTTTATTTTGTATATGTTTACCGTTGTGTGTCCAGGCTAGCTTATTCGACAGCTCAGAAAAACGAGATGGCTCAGAAGTGGACCTAACTAAGTCGAAAATACAACAAACGGGGGAGGCGTGGCGATGCGCCTGCTAGCTGCATCAATCACATCAACAACTAATTACCTCACCGTGCATCATTCCCTTGCTTCTTTCTTGTGGTGGGATACTGACGGCTCGGCCTCCATGTTTGGAAGTTATCACTGCATGAATGAGATCAAAGATGCAGATCGCTGTTGAGACCTAATGAAGACTGGAAGGAATTAAACCTGGAATGCAAGTAAGATTAACCCTATAGGCGCGAGGATGCCTTGAAGGAGAATGAATATGGTGACTATGAGGTGGCTGAAGCTGCAGTAAACCTCATGTAATTAATATTTAAATTACAATTCGTGTCCGCTTGACACATAATACATCGTACTTTCATTGCCGAAACGAATGCTATGAACACTCTGTGTTGGGGGGAGGGGGTAATAAAATTAATAAATTCGCTATGTGACTAAAATATCGTATCTCATTGAAGTAAATGTCACGTAATTAATGTTCTGAGTTTTAGTTGCTATCTACTTAAAAAAATATATCGCATTGTGTTACTGAAATTACTGTGTTAAATGCTCAGTTTATATAGGAATTCACACAGCTCTTCATTGGATATTTTAGGGACATAAACACATTTTTTTCTCGAAGAAATCCGAATAGACCTCGCTGGTATATCAATTTTGGGGTGTAATTATACTCGGCCTACAAAAACAAGTCCCATTGGCATGCAGATGATGAAGCTCTAGGCTTCCTTCTCTACATATACTATTATATTCCTTTTCCAGCCAAAATTACTTGATTATGTGACCAGAATGCTTATATAATTGGAGAGGAATATGGAAAGTCATGTTGGAGAGGAAAACGTACCAGGCTCTAAGGAGACGCGGAGGAGGTAGATCCATGGAATTTCTTTCTGTGGCATCAATGTGGTGAGATGTTGAAAACCGACTTTTGAAGGCAACACCCAATTGCAGTTTCTTAGTGCTGCAACATAAATTACACTATTTTATGAGTTTTGAAACTGAGTCTGACATTGTAGGGTCTGAGGGTCTCACAGCAGTGCTAGCGAAGTGGTTGAACTTCATGCTGTCATGTCTCAGAAAATATAACTCTTTGAAGTCTGACAAGGATATGAACACCTCATGTTAAGACCTTTTCAAGGGCTTGCATGACTTTCCTCGCTGGTCAATAATATCTTGAGGATGCGACCTGTTAACCTAGATTAACATCTCTGACTTTTATAGGTGGACATTGCGTGACCAACACTGATCTTTAGATGCACTGTCACATGACCTCACACCAATCGCACTTATAGCACATTGGTTATATAAATGTTTTGGACATTGACCTGTAATTGTGGTTGCTCAGCCTAAGGAACATTGCATAAATTTCAGTACCAGGTAATAATTTGGTTTGATCCTAGAAGTGGATTATATTCATATTTGTTTCCCATAACTTACATTTATTTGGAAATTCAGTTTCTTGTATGAAGTTGGTTTTATCATATAAAATTTATGTTTTGTCAGATTTATGTAATAGAACATATTTATATTTATTTAGTTTTGTTTTATGCAATTGGACATAAATGCTGTGATAAACATTTTTGCTACTATAAGCAAGCTTTGATAATATTTGTATTTTAAATATTATGTTGAAAATTATTTTCTATTTCTGCAAACAATTATAATTAAATCATAATTATGATTTAATTTGTTCAGAAGGATTAAAATGAAAGGAGGATATGTGATTCACTGAATGGTAAACTGAAGGTAATTATTATTGCAAACTTATTTTGAGAAATTTTAAAAATGAAAGGGCCTTCTTAGGTGAAATATTTTTCAAAATATTACATATATCACGTATTACCTTATATATAAAATTACAATAAAAGACAGAAACAGTGAATTGAATTATTTTATGTTGTGATATGAAGAACTTAAAAGTCTTGACTGATTACTAAACATCTCCATTCTACTGTTATGCAAATCAGTTTCAAAATGAGAATCATATTTGCTACAGTGAAGCAATTAAATGATCAGAATATGTGGATCGGTGTTCTAGTAGCAAGTAAACCAATTTAGAAACTTCTGTCAGTTATCCCACTGAAATATTGTAATAGCATTTATGGTGAGTTATTAAGCAGAAATACTTTGCAAAATTAAAACACCAATGCAACTGTTCCTCCTCTTTCTTTTCATCAGATTAATATACAGTACAGTGCTCTGTTCCATTCTAGATTTGCTGGTTTTGCACAATTAAAAGTCACTCAGTTTCTCTGTATTTTGATATGATATAATTAAAATAATTTTACCACTTTGAATTACATAACGTTGTGTGTACAGGATACATCTCATAAAGCAAATTGGTATTATTTGCAAAAAAAAGAAAGGTTACTGTTGTCTTAGATGGTGATGCCATGTAGTCTGGAAAATTTTTACAAACGTTTCAGGGGAATGTGTAGTTTCCATCATCTACCCTGAAAATAGCAGCACCTCATTCTTCCAAAATATTGATAACAATTACCAGACTACAGGGAATCACATCCCAGAATACGGTATTCTTCAGTCTCCATGGATGTCTCAAATCTTGCCACTAAAAGTAAGTTTCCCAGCTGGAATATTGTGTTAGTACTTAGAGGTGCCTATGACAGTGGATCTGTTTGGCCGTTTTTCAGCATCCTTTAATTGGACCCATGAATATATATAATTTCAGTTTTTAAATGTGCACATGGCTGTAGGAATATTTTTAATTGAATATGCCATTCTCTTCAGTTGACTGCCAAAACTCTTGGAAACACAGACACCGCTGGGCAACTAAATAAGAAAGGTAAAACTGCTCAGCTGGAATCATGAAGACTGCACGTGTGTTTATGTGTTCCCCTGTCTGTACATGCAACACATGTATTGTTCCTGAGGTCCTGAAACATGGTACCTAACATCCCATGCAGTAAATAATAACAATGAGAGGAGATATAACAGTTAAATTGGAAATTTAAGAAATGCATCATAATTAGAATTTTATTCAACTCTTCTTCACAAAATAAATGTGAGCGAAAGGAAAACACTGTTTGCATGAAATTTATGCATCATAATTATAAGCCATTTAATTATCTGTATCTGGTGTTTTTTCTAAATAAATATTCATTGTAAAGAGATTTTGCTTGTTTTTGCAGGTGTGCAGATAGCTGACTTTAATAAATATATGCCTTGAATGTGCCTCTTAAGATAGTATTATATGTGTTACATATATTAAGCAATGATTAGCTCACAATGGTAGTGTTCATAAGTGTGAGTTATGTTGTAGTTATAACTACACACAGCCAGTACAATCATATTAACTCTGTGATGAGGTTGTACAGCCTTAAAGTAATTTATAATAAGTGTATGCTAATCAAACAATGATTTCATTCATTCACTTTAAGGGTAATTGTGTTCACTGTTATTTTAAGTAATTTGTGGTAAGCCTTTTAAACCTGTGATATTTCGCAAGCAGTACAGCAAATCCCTGGTTTTTCAGAACAAAGAATGTTATGTACAACTGATTATGAATGTTGTTTCGCTTTCTCCTTTTCTAGTACTTCCATATTTCAGTCATATTCTGTTATTACTACAGAAGATTTACATCACATATCATACTTAAGACACAAGGTAAAGGGAAAATCATCTCTATGCTTAATTAATTAAGCACTATGCCATAAAGATGTATTGGGGAGTGGATGTATAGCTCAACCATTCTTCAATTTGGTGCTAGAATGAGGTGCATGATTAGTTTCATGCCCCTGGCCACTTTACCCCCAGGGGAACAGCTCCATGTAACCACTGGAGGGAAGGGTGGGTGGGCCCCAGAGCTTGTCTGGACATTTTGGAAGAGAAAAAAATATCTTTTTCTTGCTGGGAATTGCACCCCAGTTCTTTGATCATCCAGCCCATAACCAGTCACTGTACTGACTTAGCTATCCAGACTCCTTACCATAATTGAAATTTCTTGCATATATTTTCTTAATCTTCTCCATTAGTATTTCAGCTTTATTTTTACCATTTCCCCAGTATTTCGTTATATGAACTACATGCTTATGTTGGATTAGTACGTATTATTATACTTGTGAATTTCCCATAATACACTAAAGCTGGTCTTTAGATATATGGTATATAAGTATTTAATGTGTGAAATATTAGGTATAGTATGATGCCTGGCATGCATACTGAATTTGTCATTTTGATATTAATATTACATTCAGTCATCACCACCAGTGTAGTGTACTGTTCACCTTTCTCATGCAAAAATGATTGTGTGTGTAATTATAATCATTTGAGATCCGTTATCATCATCATTAACCATATTAATTTTATTATTATTATTAATTGTAAGCTTTTGTAAGTGGAAAAGAAGTGTAGACTGGAGATTTTTCTTATGAAATATACTAATCCAAAAATAGTAAACAGTGTACATCATATTTGCAACTTTCTTGTGATATGTATTCTTACATCTATAAGAAAACATAAATAACAAACCTGCTGGTCTGGAATTATTCTATAATTATGAGAGTTAAATGTGATGCAATTGCAACAGATATAGCTGCCTCCCTTTGAGATGAGTAGCTCCTGCTTCAGAGAGATGTGGCTGTATGCTAAAATAAATGGTGATTATACACAAAACAGTGTTTAATTACTAAGATCCTATCAGTTAAATTTTAATTCATTGTTTTAATTGTATGATTTAGTGAAAGGGTGAAGTACTGTTGCGTTTCAGCTACTGTTACCTCTCGTGAAAATTGCCTTTTTAATAGCTGGACATCCCATAATTCTTTATTTAATAATGAGATAAGAATCCTTATGATTCATACAAAGGAAAACCAGAAGACGTCATTTGCTTTCAAAAGCGTAATGAATTAGGTTTTTATATGTTTTCGTTGGTGGCTCCACCTTATCGTGGTGAGAGGGTTTGAGTATGCCAAGGACCCTGAGAGCTATACCAGCGGTAGTGTAGCTACTGGCAGTGCCTCCATTGCTGGATAGGTCAAAAAGTAGGCATCAGACGAAGAGAGACACCAAAAACTGATGCCAGAAGCAGCGTCATCAGCAGCGACTTGAAGCACAGAGCAAATGATGCTCGAGATGGTTCAAGTTCGTATAGCAACAGGCTTGACCAGAGTGGTTTGAACGGCTGTTGTACTGCAATGTGGAAAGCAAATGGAAAAACTACCACATTATCACTTTTCCTGGATAGTCTCTTTCCAAAAACGGAGATACCAAGTATGCGAGATGTTTCCTCTGGAGACAAAACAATCCAGAGGTAAACTACTCCCCCAATCTGATCTCCGGAGGGGGGAGTGTTTCTAGAGGAAATGTCATGCAGGCGTTACGACAAGAAAAAGTGTGAAGATCAGAAGGAACATCACGGCTACAAGATTGGAACATGGAATATAATGACCTTGAATCAAGCAGGCACATTGGAGAATTTGAAAACGGAAATGCAGAAGAATGAGGTGTCAGTTTTAGGTGTCAGTGAAGTGCGATGGAAAGGACAAGGTGAAATAAGAAGTGGTGATTATACCGTGTATTATTCTGGAGGTGAACGGGCTGAAATAGGTGTGGCAATAGTGGTGCATAAAAGTGTAGTGAGGAGTGTTGTTAAGAAGATTGTTTGTAATGACAGAATTATTGCTCTGAAATTAAAGGCGGAACCGGTAGATATACTGATTATGCAAGTGTACATGCCAACATCAGAGTATGAAGATGATGAAGTGGAAAAAGTGTATGACACAATTGAAGAAATTCTTCAGGAAGATGGAAGAGGAGACACAAACAGCATCATATTGGGAGACTGGAACAGCATTGTTGGAGATGAACCATATCAGAATATTGTTGGATCACATGGACTAGGAAGACGGAATCACAGAGGTCAAATGCTTATTGACTTTTGTGAACGAAATGGATTGATTGTTACCAACACTTGGTTCAAGAAGCCAAAGAGAAGAATTTACACATGGAAGGCACCTGGGGATTGGAAGAGGCATCAGCTGGACTACATCCTTGTGAAACATCGATTCAGAAACAGTGTGAAGGATGTGAAGACGCTTCCTGGGGCAGACATTGACTCTGACCACAACTTGCTGGTTGCCAAGTTTCAAATCAGGTTGAAGAAAATTATAAGATTCAAAAAGCGCAAACCTAGATGGGATTTGGAGAAGTTATATGCGCACAGACAAAGCGTGCATGAGACCCTAGAAGAGAAACTCAGTGCAATTGAAAGTGAAAACGGAAATGCTGAAGTTCAGTGGAACAATATAAAAGAATGCATGTTAGATACTATTAGCGAATTGGTTGGTAAAGTTGAGAAGATAGCAAGAAAACCATGGGTTACACAGGAGATGATGAGTAAAATGGAGGAGTGAAGGAAGTGGAAGAATGTCAACAATTAAGAAGGCAGGAGGAAATACAGGATACTGAGGAATGAATTGAAAAGAGCCATGGACAGGGCCAAAAAGGAATATCTTGAGAAGATATGTAATGAGATTATGGAATTTCAAAGAACAGGCCGTTATGATTTGATGTACATGAAGACAAAAGAACTAGGATGGAAAGAGAATCATGGGATTCAAAATGTTGGCATCGAAGACTCCCAGGGGAATAGAATAGTAGATCAGAGGCAAGTGCTGAAAATTTGGGAAAATTATATTTCAGAACTATATGATCGACCTAATCGGCCAGAAACCTTAGAAGTTGAACCGGAAGAAGAAGTAGATACAGACGAGAAAGGACCATATATTTTACAAAGTGAGGTGGAAAAAGCTATCAAGGAAATGAGGAAGGGAAAGGCTACAGGAGATGATGATGTACCTGGAGATGTGCTCAAGTTACTGGGAGAAGGTGGTTTGAAAACACTGACAAAACTAATGAACACCATATATGAAAGTGGAGAGTGGCCCAAGGACTTTACAGAAGTTACAATGATTGCCTTAAAGAAAAAGACAAAAGCTACAAAATGCAGCGACCATCGCACAATAAGCCTTATTGCACATACAGCAAAGATAATAGCAAAGATACTTAAAAGAAGAATTGAAAGGAAAATAGAGGATGTACTTGGAGAAGATCAGTTTGGATTTAGAAGAGGAAAAGGAACCAGGGATGCAATTGGGATGATGAGAATTATAGCAGAACGAACTTTGGAGATAGATGAAGAACTATGTGTTTGCTTCATAGACTGGCAGAAGGCATTTGACCGTGTAAATTGGACCAAATTAAAGCAGATCCTAAAGGAAACCGGTATCGAATGGCGTGAAAGAAGATTGATTAGTAAATTGTACATGGATCA